AATAAGATTATTCAAATACTTTTTTTATATCAACTTTCATAGATTACATTTTAATCAAAATTCCTTTTTTAGCAGAACGACCGATTTTGTTCTGCTGTGCTTTTTAAACGTTTGTTGGAAATAAAATGGCGCCCACAATTTAAAAAAAAATTACAACGGCGATGTACTCAATTTTTATGTCTTTAGCTTATTAGAATCCTACACGGTTGAAACATTTAGTAAATAAAATATACCTTGACTAATTAAGAGTGTCTCGGTGGTATTTACAAATCATAAAGGTACGTAGTAGGCTTGGTACGTAAGGCCCATGTCATGAACAGACAAGTGGCCCTTGTGAACATCAATCAATTTCACTGAATTTTATTTAATTTGAGTTTTGATCTAATAAACAGTTCATCTATGTACTTATGTTTACTATATGGGACCAGAGGAGTTGTAAATATGTCTGCATATTTTATACTGATGAATAGAATTCAGACGTCCTTTCTTCATGCCTTTATTCATGGGTTAAACATTGTGACTTGACATTGTGAATGACATTATCATTTTTAGAAATGGTTTGGTTCACTTAAATATTGTTAACATACTCTTTCCTAATAGTTTTTAAATCATGGTACAGCTTTCTGAGACGTCCAGTGTATCTTTCTCTAATTTGGCCTTGAAAATTGGTTACGTTTTTGCTTTAAATTCCATTGAGAATTGTTGGTATGACAAGTTTGGAACATTTTTGAAGGGCTGCAAATTTAGACTTGCATTCGACATTTTTTGCCATTGAGCAGTGATGGATCTTTTTCTGCCATCACCTTCAGCGATACTGGACCAAAGATGTCACAGTCTAATTCGAAGGATAATCTCAACATTCCCCATTGGATTTGAACCAGCGACTTGGAATTAACTCCTTACTTCAAGACTCCAAAACAAAATCTCTAGAACCACTGCACAAATAGAGACCCTTGAAAAAGTACATTGCAGGTGTAAGCTTTCGAAGTTGGGGAGTAGGTTTGGAAAATGTACGCGGATGTCCGGTATTTCCCTATCCAGAATCTCGTCCTCTTAAAAATTTGATTTCAATAAATTTACACTGGCATGAGAATTTTACAAGTTCAATTGAATAATAATTATGAATTACTGTAAACCAATTATTATTCGAGTCATCTTTTATTCGCAAATCATCTGTTTGAAATCAATCCTAGACAATTAATTTTCGTGACTGAGGAAACATTCTCTACGAATACAAAGCAAAATAATTGGTTCGCAGCGAATAATATTCGCGAGTTAAAGTAGGTTGCGAAACCAGCGAATATTTTTCGCACGCGAATAAAAGTTGGTTTACAGTAATTTACCTTAAAGTTTACTTAAAAACGGCATTGGTAATGGTGTGATAATTCTGTTAACAAATCATTTTCGTTGTACTTTTTTTATTTATAAAGGTTGTATTTCATTATATATGAATTTATATAATTTTATAATGTTTAAAAGTTGCCGTCAGAAAAAAAAATATTTACCTACCTACCTACCCACTCCTGAGATTTTAGGGTCGGGTTAGGGGAAACAAAGATATTTTTAATGATGGCCTTAGCACTAATACATGTATATATACGTTTTTATTGTTCCTTTGGGTTCAATCAAAATACAGGGTTCATAAAATAGCTGTACCCTTGGTTATGTAATCATTATATTATCATGTTATCTAAACCTTCGTTTACATTTGTAGCAGCTCTGTAAAAAATTGAAAGTCATTGTTTCCCTTGAATAACATTGACATTTTCTCATATTTCGAGAATTTTATGTTTTCATCATTTCAATACATATTTCTCTACAAGCCTTATAAGCATTTTCTATGAATTACAGATATTTTTACACTAAAGAAGCTATTTGATTTAATTGAATAATTAACTTAACATAACTTAATCTTCCTTGCATTTATTTTTTTAATCCTATCATTTGACAACATGGGGATTCTCGCAAAGCAGAAAACTCATCGCTTCGCCTTGAAATTGATATCAACACTCCTTGCATCAACGAAATTTCATTATGATATAGAATGTGAAAAGGTTCAAAGAATTATTGTAACTCAGGATAGGACAATTTATTTGGAGGCTTACAGATGGTGAACCTTGATAACTCCATAAATTATTTGAAATATACTTAGTTCCAAAGACAAAAAATAAATCAAGATTAGACATATTTTAAGCAGTTAATCTAAATGACGTTATTTCAAAGGTCTGACTTTAGAGACGAATGTATCTCGAATGCTTTAATGACCCAGAATAGTCTCATTTGGTATGATAATTTTAATTCTTGGCAGAATGCTATTGAAAAAGTGGAATATGAAAAATAAAGGTTCTAAGGTTGTAATATATTGTAATATATATATATATATATATATATATATATATATATATATATATATATATATATATATATATATATATATATATATATATATATATATATATATATATATATATATATATATATATATATATATATATAGGAGCACAATTAGTGCCCATCGACATTCAAACAGAGTGTTGGAGGATCTTGTCTCTAAAGACTACATAGATGTTGTCATTGAAGAACTCCAGTATCCTTTTAGTAATAATCTCAGAAAACCTAAGTGTAGAATTAGAGTGATTTTTAACAAAATGAATTTTTCAATGATCAATAACAAGAAATGAATATTACCGAGTTCCATTTTTATTGAAGAAACAATTGTTTATCATATCAAAAATCCAAGTTTTTTTTTTAATTTATCATGAGAAGTGGTTAAATTTTTGAAAATGAAATACAACATTTGATGGATGTATATTAGTATGCAACTCTAAATTACTTTTTTTAATCTAAAAGAGGACTGATGGATGAACTTGTTTGAACCCATTTATTAAATATTCTACTGCAGTTAATGCAATGATCAAAGAAATGCCGCAGTCTTTATTCTCCAATAAATAAAAAACGTCATCAACAAATTATCATTAACTTTAAATCTGTTTCCTCTAATTTTGATTGTTCTTACTACAAAAAAGGATTGAGGAAAATGTTTAATTGGGAATCCTATTACCTCATACTTTTTCTAATGCGTAAAGTAGAAATAAATGAGAAATAGGATTCAATTTTGACGTTATAAGGAACTAATGTTGACGTCAAAATCTACTTTGTTCCATTCAGTTTTCCAAAATAAGGTGTGTTAGTAAGTACCGGGATATAATCAATAAATGTCGTGACCAAGTAGCATTTTTTTTGTTTTGGGGGACTAAAAAGGCATCCTCGTGCACTTGTACACATGAACTTTATTTTGTTGAGTGAGCAATTAAGACGAGTTATGTGAGCCAAACCCTGAGTGTTTGTAAGTTTATATCCTTTATTGCAATCACAAATTAAACGCATTCCAAACTACAGATGAAAATAGGTCACTTAGACACTTTCCATCAATGACTGCGAGGATAAAAGAAAATGGCAGGTGAAAAATTCATTTTCTTGCTCGTATTACCATCCTCGATGTTCGGCACTTAACATTATTTAAACAATAAAACGCTTTCTTTGGTTGTTAGTATGGGATACTGTTGCAGCTGAAGCTGTTGCAGGAAAAATGCACAACCTGCGTAAGAGGGTTATGTAATTTTTTTCTGCAATAGCTGCATTGTTAGTAACCGTAATAACAAAGAAAGAAAAACATTTTTTGTTTATATTTATGTCTGTATAAATAATGATATAAAGTAGGTTAAGTATGTTAAATATTGTATCATAGATTCGTACGTCATTGTATGTTTTATTGATGGAAAAGCCACTGCTCTAAAAATCTAAACAGGTGGATTTCTTATCGGTGTTAAAGTATTGGCGAAGGGCCATGATTTTCATAAGAAATAAAGGAGACAATATGCAGTGGTTGTTAATATTGTTGCATGTATGAATGATGTCAGACAAGCAGAAACATGAGTCATCGTCGTATGATTATTTTTTATTGTATTATGTACATGTACATGTATTTTACATGCTTGGTAGAATGAAATATGGACGAACAGTATTCAAGCATGTGGTTGTTTGCTGCCCTAGCTAAGAGCCAATACAAGCATGCTTCGAAAATGCACTGGGAGCTTGTGTGGGGGATCTGTTGTTTTAACGGTAATCTCGGACCTCGTTCCGTATAATGGGTGGTTTTATGTTGCCTTAATCGCTATAATGGGCTTACCTGCTCCGTAAAAGAGGCAGTAACCTTTCTAAAGCATCCCATACGAGGTAATTACAAAAATATCCCAGATGATTCGAGAAGGGGCACCCAACAATTCGAGATTTAAAGCACATATTGTAGCGCCTCGCTATGGATAACCCTCAAAGATGCGGTACCATAACGCCTGTTACCAATTTAGGAGTGTCGCACATAATGATTGTTAAAGTTTGACATTTGTCATCCAAACAATTAACAATAAACATGCACATTCTGCGTAAATCAGCAGCTTCAATGAAAATGAATGGTATCTTTCATTGACAATGATCAAGAAGTGCTTAATACCGAATTCAATCTCAAAACTGGTCGTAAAATAATTATTATAACTCTATCATATACGTCTAGTGATAACTCATTTTCAAGTCGCGGAGGATTTCTTTTCTGGCTTTTATGTTTCTTTTTCTATCCAGACTACAATTTCTTAGTAAGTAATTGACGATCCTGACTTTTCACATATTTGTCAAATTTGCAATTCCGTTTCTGCATTTGAGTAACACACAATATTGTACTTACAAATTCAAAATTACTGTTCTTCACAAAGCAACAATGAAGGCTATCCCCTGCCTCGATATATTAAGTAAAATATGATTTAAAAGGAGGATATTGCACTAAGAGTATGTGAACAAATTTGTTATCTTTGACTTATGTAACCCCCCCCCCCCCCTGCAAAAGATGTTTAATTGGTACTATGCCCAACTAGCAGATCGGGGTGCCTTAAAATTGCCATTTCATTCCAGTTATTTGCTGATGTCTCAATGGATTAAAGGAAACAAGATAATTTATTACATTCTTTTAATGAAGGAATGTAGAACGCAAATGCAAAACTAGATTACATTTTGTTCCAGTAACTTTTTTACATCCAAATAATGAAAAGGTACATGTTAATACACTGAAAATTAATTGGGAAAATAAACTATAGATTTGATACATTGTCATTTGCGGTGAAATCCGAGAAAAAAAGGAAAGGGTGTAAATTGAAGATGATTTCCGTTGTTTCACGAAGTAGCAGATTTCATTTCATCAACATTCCTGGAAAAAAGAAAAAAAATATTTGAGTGCTGACATTTTTATTCAAAAACTATATGGCAGGTCTATATTTCTTCGTTATTTCTATAAACTTCTGAACAAATATTGTACAATTTAATGTAGTTCGTTCCTCAGGATCTTAATATCAGTAGTTAAGAGATTAAAAATGCTCACAAAAATGTCACTGAAATTACAAAGTTATGTGAATTTACCCATGTAATTTCTAAATTCATCATCATAGTTATTAATATAGTATCTAGGGAAAATTTTCAAATCTAACATATATCTTCCGGAAAAAATAATAAAAGCACTAATTATTTATATAATTGAAAATCGATCAATAAATATGTTTTAGGGAAAAAAAGATATCAAGACATTTAAAATTTCTCATTTGAAACATCAATATAAAGTAGAGACTTAGTGCATTCATACGCTATAAAAAAAGATTCCTCTGAGAGTCCAGGTATTGTAAAACTGGCTCTGTGAAATTGCAATGAATTTTGGAGAAAATGAGTGTTTCTGTGTACCTTCAGCAAATGATTAAAATATGAGCCCAGAACTCGATCCAAAAAGAATAAATAAATAAAACATGGATTATAATCTGAAACAGTTCTTTCATTATATTATTGAACATTTTGGATCAGAGGTTGGGGTGTATGCTAAATATTGAAAAAACAGCTTAAATTTTTTGGTCATTTGTGCAGAAATTTTAAGGATTTGAGGACAATGACCCAATTCATGACGTCATCATACATGAACTTGCAAGAAAATTACATCATTTTGTGACCGGTCGGCAGGGGATGCTCACTACTCCATGGCACCTGATCCCACCTCTGATGTTTGGAGGCCCGTGTTTGCTCTGCTCCTATTTTGTATTGTATAATGGACTTTTGAGCTTGAATACTGTTCGTTATCTCCATATATTTCATTTTAATAGATATGCATTCAACAGGGGTCCAAATAAAATTCAATGTATTTTCAATCCAACTAAAACTGAGCAGTTCTGATTTTTCAGAAATGCACAGGGGAAAAAAGGCTCTAAGTGAACCTTGTTCTTTTGTTTTGAGACATTCAATTAAATAATAATTCAATAAGAAATTATCCCTTGCTGAGGAAGGAACATCCATAAATCTATTTATCGCTCTTTAAAGACAGTATAGGTTAAGTAAAAATGTTTTGATGCATGGTTTGATGTTTTGTGACTATACCATGTTAACGGCTCCAGCTCCAGGAACCACCGCTGCTGGAATCAGACCATCTTCTGTGCCATCTCCAGGGGGAGGCATCTGAACCCATCACATATATGGTCAGTACCACCAGAACAAGAAGCAACAAAAGCTGGATGAAGTTCATTGTAGTTTGTGGTATTGAACCTGAAAAAGTATAACAAATTACGTTCAAGTATATAAGATTAATTAGACATAGAGCAATATTTTTTTATGAATAGCAATTCTTCAAAAAGATTTTTAATATTAATCAAAAAAGAAAACAAAACAATATCATCCTATGTTATTGCATGTTATTTTACAAGCATAAAAGTATAATGTTATTGGACTATTTTGATAAATTTCCATTCTTCTATTTAACGAAAATATTTCAGTATTAAAATTGAAAAGAAGAAAGAGCAGAATAGCTCTCTTAAGCACTTTAAAAACTTCCAAACCAAAAAGAACAAAAATTAAGACAACCTAAACAAATAAAATACAAAGAAAAAAAATGCTAAAAAAGAAAAGACAATCGAAACAAAAAAATATTATTTATTCTTAACATATAAAAATATAGGATATATACTTCACAATGGATATCATTTAAACACATACATAAAAATCCATATATTATCCGTTAGAATCAGAAAAAGAAAGATAGAAAATTAATAAAGCGAAAAGTAATCATACCAACCTTATATCTAAAGGAAGAAGACAGCTTGTGGTCATAAGAGACATATCTACTTATATATGGCCAGACAAATGACTGTTTAAACTTTAGAAACTGACATAATGTCAAGATATGCACAAAGTTTCTGCAAATTCATTGCTTTGATTCAATGTAAATTACACCTCAGCTGAGACTAAATACTATTTTGTAGGCAAATGTGCAACCCTGTCGATATTTTTGCCTTGCTGTTGAACTTTAAGAGCATGCTTATGTATATACTGTATATTAAATGGTGGTAGATTATTTCACCTATTAATGTAGTCAGTAGGAATTTACATTTTCATATAGATAACCGTGGTACAAAATAACATCGCATGTAAATACAGAAAACATTTTAAATATATTTAAAGAAATACAGTAAGAATCAAACTATTTTGGAATAAGTGTATTGTAAAAATCTTTTCGAGGGAAAAATGGAATATTATGAACTAAAAAGCTAGATTCTTCTTTCAAGATATTTGATAATTATAAGCTTCAATCGCCCCAGTTAACAAATATAATTCAACCCCTCCCCTGGAACGTGAAAAAGATCATATTTTTATTCCATCTGATCGATATTTGATCCCGTGAATTTTACGACAATTTTTCGGAGATTATTTCAGCGTTTTCATCTTCATATTTCCTATTAATTTGAGTAATATTCTAGATATCACTTCCATATGATGTTTTTGTCTCGCAAGTGATTCGGTACGCAAAAGCATGCTCTTAGTAAGATTATTATTTTTTAATCAACGCAGGTTACTGATTGTGTTGTTATAGGATCTCAACTACATGTATCTTGTTTAAAACCAGCATTTCTTTGCTCTTTTTAATGACCTTGTTTGTAAGTACAGCCTATCGATGGGTTATATTATGACTATAACGTTTCACACCATTTGTTAGGCCATTGATTTCATACAAATTTGACTATTGATTACTCCATTTCCGTGAGAATTACAGAGGTCTCATGGCGAGTTTCACAAGCCAAGAGGGGATGCTTACTCCTCAGGCACCTTATACCCCTTAGAATTATATCCAGTCTATAAAATCAAACTTGGCTTTTCAATACACATTTATTTGAAAATATTTTTTTTTCATGTTCTAGTTGGAACATTCAATTTTTTCTTCTTTAATGACTTAAAAGATGGATACATTTATTTGATGAACAAAAAGTATAATCTTAATTCTTTTTATGATCACCACTAATATTTTTTAAATTAATGTTAGGAATAATTTAAGATACGATTTTCTGACAGCGAATTGAATGTATCATGGTGATTAACAATACGTATATTTTACGAATAATTCCAAGTAGCTTCCGAAAATTATAAGAAATGTACGTTACATGGCATGTGCATTGTACATTTCCTCGAACGTTGTCGAATTGATATTGGCCATATATCATTTACAATTTCAGGATAGAAATTGAAAAAAGTAAACATTTGTCATAAAAAATAATTATTATTTTCATATATTCTTCTCTAATAGTCTTTTTTATTATAGCTCATTTATAAGGTTTTAAATATAATGAACTCGTCATATAAAGTCAAACCACGGATAATTGTGTTGTTGTTAGACATGGTGACTTTCATATATAATGACGCGAAGTTATACACATCTAAACTGCAGTTTCCTAGGATTAGGTAACGCATATTTTTCTGTTACACACGTTTTTATTAATGTTTAGTTTCTTAAAATTTTAATTGTTAATGCTTTTCATTTACTTTTATAACTCATTACAAATACTCAAGATGTCTCATGCTTATTTCATCAACAATGTTACACATTTTAGAACTTGATTTATGAAAACATTATGTAACGTACGTGTCATACTTATCCATACACTGAAAGATTACAATATAAGAAGTCAGATAATTTCAATAAAACTTTCAGATCTTTATACATTTATTGTTTGAGCAAAGGAATAATCTTTTACATTTTTAAAGATTTATTGCTTTCATTATTTGAAAAGAAAGAAATGTTTTAGGCGGAACATTAAAGGATTTTTTTCTTATTTTATTCAAGAAAAAATCCCACACTTTTGTGTGAAAGTGTGCAATTCTTCTTCTTCTTCTTCTTTTTAACATATTCTTTTCTATTATAATAAAACTTAGGAGGACAGAACACTTGGCCTTCTACTTATAACTGCTATATTTTGACATGATGAATAATACATTCTTTAATTAAAGTTTTTGAGTTACAAGGTCTGACCTCCTCGTACAGGTGTATATACGCAATGTCAATAACATTTAGCCTCGACAAGATCTTGCCATGAACTTGCAGTACTAATTAGCATGTTTTACCCTTTATTAACATTCCAATGATAAAGAGAAATTAGACTGACTATATATAAGCAGACAAAGAAACGAGATAAACATAACTTTTTCTTCTGCAACATTAAGGTAAGCAAAATGACGTTGTTTTTCTCTTTTCTCCTAGAATTTCACTGGAAAAACAAAATCAGTGTCTAGTTTTTACAAATTTAATTTGTTGATACTCACCAGCATTTTTAAATGCAAAAAAAGAAATAAATATTCGGCATGCTTACGCCATTTTATTGTGCTTACTACTAAAATAGTGAGGACTCATTTAACAATTACATTTTTATTATCATTTATATTTGAGATCATTTGATTTTCATTCAACGATGGCATCATCTTCAATGTTTCCTTCTGGGTAAATTATTTTGCAAAATACAGAAAATTATTGCCCAATCTCGTACGTTCAAAAAAGTATATGAAACAGCTACATGTAGTCACGTGACTTCTGCATTAGAAATACATGTAATAGAGCCATTCAGTTATATGCAATGAGAATTTTCGATAAAGGTAAGATTTTTTTTTTTAAATATATAATCATCATTTTATGATTACAATAAAAGCACATTTCATTTTTAAAATAATGATGGTGAAAAAACTTATATTTTGAAGTGTATTTGTGTATCACTGGAATGTGTATTTGTACGTAATATTTAAAAAAAAAAAGGTCCAAAATGTTGTTACAGGAAGTATTAATCGCCTTGTAATTTTTAAAGAAAATATAAAGGAAAAATTCAAAAGATGACAACATATAAAAACAAAATATAATTGCTTGTTTTTAGGTATCCACCCACGAACTACAATGAACTTCATCCAGCTTTTGTTGCTTCTTGTTTTGGTGCTACTGACCATATATGTGATGGGATCAGTTGCCTCCCCCTGGAGATGGCACAGAAGATGGTCTGATTCCAGCAGCGGTGGTTCCTGGAGCTGGAGTCGTGGATAACTTAGTAAGATGATTCTTATTTTATCAAAGTATATTTGTAGACATGCACATTGACTTTTGGTAATGAACAATTTCAGTAGCGCTATACAATATGATGAGGATCTGTTTTACAGTATCATGTAAATTGAGATTTTAGTCAAGAAACAAACTGATCAAAGATATTGATCATCTCCTGTTTTCTAACATCAAAAATAATTTTCTTTTCAGATGGTATTGCAGAAGAAATTTGTTTTTATTTATTTTAAAGTATATCTTGAACTAAATTTTGTTTTCATACACACGTTCACAATATACTATGTTTCTTAATGAAAACATTAGTTTTACTTAGTTGTTATCAATAAAATGAAGTGTCAAGTCATTTTTTTCACTTGTCTTTCCTTGGTTCGCACACTCCTTTTATTGATATATAAGTGTACAAAGAAATGATGCAAAATGATGAGAACAAGGTACTTATTCTGCACATTTGAAGGAAAAATAATATAAGGCCAATGCATGAATATCGAAACATAAAATAAAAAGTAATCATTGTGCATGGTTATATATTTTAGACTTTTTTCATTATAAACAATAAATTTATTTATTTAAATACCTAAAGATGGAAATGCATCCATGGTTTGAAAAAGACGGACACTAATTAAATGTTTTGTTCTACTGCTATGCTGTATATTTTAAAAGTGTTTAATAAGTCATAATGATTAATGACTAAAATTAAAAAATAGTCACAAATAATTTCTATCATAAATAGGGTATCTTAGACAACTATGAAGAGGCAACATTACCTAAAACAAAACTAAGATGTTTCATGTACGTCTAAAAAGTGTAGAGATTACCTGGTAACATAACAGCCTAATTATCTGGAACACTGTACTATCGCAAGTGGATCTTCATTGCTTATTGTTAATTCACAAGATAACAGTTAAGAATACATGATAAAAATACTGTTGGATGCAATGATATATAATGTTCACAATGGCAAAAATCTATCATAATGAAGCAAGTTCCAAAATAGAGCTTTTATAAATAAAGTATATGGATACAAGGATGGCATATAACATATTTATTAGCAATACCATTTCAACATTTATGTAGCTTTCCAGTAGACTTGAGACATTTTTGTTTGATTGTATTTATTTAAGAAATCCAATTACTTACCGTTTTTGTAAAATATTTTGGTATAGATGTATGGATTTATAAAAACAGATAATACAAATTATATAATGCCAACGGATTTAAGCAGCTAAGTCATGGTTTGCCTTGTGTATTAAATATTGAGATAATGAACAGTTTCAAACTCAAAAGTCCATTGAAACAATACAAATCGAGAGCAAACACGGATCTCTTAAAACATAGAGGTGGGATGACTAAGCATCCCCTGTCGACCGGTTAATTCGTCCGTGTGCTCCTTGTCATGACCCAGAAAACGGATAAATCCGTAGACATTAGAGTGTGTAAATAATGGTCTAACAATTAGTATGAAAAACATTAGTCAGTATTTGACTTTATAACAGATTGTTTTTGCTGACAAGGTCATTGTATCAACCATAGAACTTGTTGACTTCAAACGTGACTGTTGATATCCTTGTTTCATTAATTTATTTGTCAATAGCTTGCGTCGTTTTACAATTTGTTCATACATAGAATATACTCTTGCGTATCGAATCAACTGGGAGACATAAACTCAATATGCAGGTGATAAGAATATATTGCTACATAAATAAAGGAGGTTGACGATAGAAAAGTTAAATTCATACCTTTTATCATAAAGTTTTGTTCTAAGGTTACCGTTAACGTCTTTTTCTAGTATATTTATACTGAAAAGAAAAAGAAACGCAGGATAAATTTTTGAAGTGAATTAATGCTTTTTTCCCGAAAGTATTATATAGCATTGTTATCTATTATTTGAACTAATCTTTAATGAACATAATACCAAAATCTCATTTCATTTTGACTAATAGTTCATAAGTTATTGAAATTCATATGACGGTACCCCCCAAAAATGAAAATAAAAATCCTCAATATCTCCGTTGCGCGTCTAACACAACCTTGATTCTCCTGTGCATAAAGTTCATCAAAACATTTATCTTTCTCATAGGAATATTTATTCAACCCTTCCGACAGGGGAGCCCCTTGTTGGTCGAGATTAGCTGGTCTTACCTACGCCTTCAAACTTTAGCGTCCAGTTAGTCCCAGAAATTTTCAGTTGAAAAAATAGAATTTACGGTTGCCAATTGATTTGGTAAATATGAATATTAACGAGAAAGTCTTGACAAACTCTGACAACATTTTCCTGGGGGTGAACATTCTGATTAATTAGGCTTACCTCGCATGCGCGAGTGAGACTATTGCCGACGTAAGGTTGACGAGCTCATGGACTAAAATAGAGAGCGATTGATTTCTTTTAGTTTTAGAGTGAATGTAATGCTTATGATTGCTTACTGTATTAGAATTGGTTTCTGTGGTAATACCTTGGCAATTACACAGGTGGCAGAATGAAAAACTGGAAAATTAAAAACAAACTTCAGAGCAACATGTTGTTGCATTTTTTTTCACATAGGCAATTCAATACTAGACCCCATGGGACTTCCATCAGCCGTGCCATGATTACAAGAAAACCATATCGACTGTAAATAGTGGAAAACGATGTGTATACCACTATTGCATCAAGAAGTACTAAAAAACTCGGTTAACAAACCTGACATCATCAATGTACACGTTTTTTGGCTTTTTAATAGCCATTCTCTGTAACCACTTAAACTTTTGTGGCACGCATAGTCACAGATTCTTTTCAAATTTGGCTAGAATTTACCACCTCATAAACTACTCCAAAAAAATATTGTTAGATGATATGAATGTTGAGTAGTTACCATGGAAACGGTGTCTAAAGTTGATTTTTTCTGGAAAAAATGCATTTTTGGGAATGTTATTCAATGAAATGCAGCAACTTCAATTCATGTTACTCACAGAAATAAAAAGTATGACATCTGATTTTAAAAGTCATTTAAAAACATTGTTGGTATTCAGTCTATAAATATGAGAAATCTATGATTAAAATAGCAGACATCCATTTAAAAGTTGTTTACATTGTCAACATATATCCTGGATTTCAAGTAAAATCAAGTGGGTTTTTCTGTTTATTTAATGTGCATACAAATTTTAACCTCTTTGTTTATTTCCTGGATGCAAAAGAGTAATTTTTATGTGTGAACAATGGGGAAATGTACAAGACCACATGGTACAAGAAATCAGCTCTGTGCACATTCATGATATTGAAGCCTAAGCCTCAAGGTCTTAGGAGTTTCAAAATGGGGATAAAAAGATAAACTTAAGATATCAGAATTATATTGAATTGGTTGTAAGAAGAGGTACAGTGTCTCAGTCAGAGTACGTGATATATTACAATGAATAACAGCCAGGAAAGCCAGTGTTTCTTTTTAAAAACGAATGTGGGAAAAAAAAACTGAATTATAATGTTAGAAAAGTAGGCTTTTGATTTTACCTAAATAATTAAAGTCTAGCTACATTTACATGATCGTACAAAACTGGAATTTGAAAGTCAGATAAAAAAATAGGCTTGGCAACTACAAAGTACAGGTGTATTAAGATTATATTGAATGATGTGATGTAAGTTGATATTGTTGCTGAAGCAAGAATTTTCGTTAAGGGAGAGGTCTTTACCCAATAAAAAAAATTTAAAAAATTGTTAAGGCCAGTAATAAAAATATTTTGTTTGATTCCTATCGACCAGTCAAAATTATACTTTTTTGGGGGGTGGGGTGGGGGGTTGGGTGGGGTGCATAGAAATACAAATTGTCTGAATCATATTTAAAGTTAATGGTTTATCATATCTCTAGACTAAGATACATTTAGATTGAACCTTGTAGCTGTAAAATTAATGTTAAATCAGTCTAGCTGTATTTTATTAACAATGAAAACATAAATAAATTTCTGACACCCCCCGCCCTTTCTACCAAAAGAAAAAAATCTAAAATTAAACAAAAAATAAATCTATACCTCGGAATGGGGGCGGGAAGGGGTTAATCATTTATGAATGAACCACTTTCTTTAATATTCATAAATAACGCTTCTTAACGTTTTACATTTTAGGTAGCCATGTTTTTGTTTGGGGGGGGGGGTTGTTTTTTTTTCTGTACGTTATCTTTTTTTTCTTTTTTTTTTTTTACAAATGCCTCTTACTAATTGATGTGGGTAAGTGCTTTTGCATGGTTCCTGGAAGGGGTGGAATAGGTCCTGGTAATTGGTTACTTTACTATATTCAAAAAAAAAATGAAAACCGTAGGAAGAAGGCAGGGACAGATTATTTATTTTCAACATTTTCAAAGACTAAACTTTAGAAATTATGTTTACATAACACACCATAAGGTGTACGATTCCATCAAGCTTACCAAACAACTCAAATTTAGCAACCGACATAAATTCAAGAAAGCACAAAAACAGATTATCCGAACAGGTCCAGCAGATTTTTACAACAGATAATTATTGATTAAATTTTGGGAAATAGCAGATCTATTATGTGTAAACCCATGCATATTTGGGTTGAAATATATTTATCATCAATGTCTCTAAATTTTCAAGTTTTTTAAGAATAATATTGCAAAGTAAAATGGATTTAGGCTTTTTCTGTCAACTTCTCTGAAAAAAGTCACATATATAATTTGACTGTCACTGGAAAAGTGCGGGCTGTTGAATAGAGTCAAAAATGTACATTTTAGAACTAGGACTTAGTCTACAAAAACAACAAAAGAGTGTTTTTACATGCATGTAGCACAATTCTCTACATACAAGTCACTCAATATGGTAAGTGTATAGGCTTTCAATATTTTGACTTGGCTACATTTTTATCAATAAATGACCTTAAAAAAACATTCTCATAGCATTTTCACATCATGCATCAAGCCAAATGTGAGAATGTAATTTATTTACCATGCAGTTTCAGTAAAATAAATTGTGTATAAAACAGGATACGCTTTCACAATATCCAAGTATAAATGCTATACTAACAAGCTAATTCAGGGAATATGTGTCCCCTGCTTAAGGATAAAAGAAGAGCATGTACGGATCTAGAGGGGTGGTGGTCGGAGGGTGGTGGGGGTGCGGGGACGGGACACTTTAAGAGGAGTGGGCGGGACCATAGGGAGTTATGATATAAAATTTCATTGCAAAAGCTTAAAATCTTTTTGAGATATCACTCGGAAATGAAAGTTTTACACACAAACAGAATGTATAAATTTTTGACATTGACCTTTGACCTTTTGACCTCAAAATCAATAGGAGTCTTTTTTAGTTCATAGGAAGTTGTGCTTTAAAACTTCGATGCAAAAACTTGAAGGCTTCTCGAGA